TGTCCACTTTACAAGCTTTAATTTTGTGACTTGAACAATTATTTCTAAGATGACAATATGTAATCCATTAACTAGTGGTTTCCTACTGTTTATTTTTTTTCTGTAAATCTGTATAACTTGTACCCTTTCTCTGTTTTTTTTTCTTTTCTCCTTAAATAAAATTTAAAAAAAGAATTCTTTCAGTATAGTATAAACACTAAGAACAGTCAAATATTTATAAATATGTAAATGCAGTAAATATGTACTAAATACAATAACTCTACCTACAACTAACAATAGAACAGTATTCGACCATAGTAGGATAGTTACCCAATTAGCTAAGGATTCATAAAGGTTACATATATAAGTAAGGATTCATAAAGATTACATATGTAAGTAAAATTGTTAGCAATTTTACTAATATATGTAAAGAATATTTTTGTTGATTTTCTTTATTCTTTTTCAATTTCATTAATTTCTATTTTAATTTTTAACCTCATAAAGATTAATGATTATACTAATAAATATAGAGGGAGTAGGGAATGAGCGAATAAAAAAAGGAAAATTTGAAAAATTCATCAATGAAAGAAGAGAAGAGGAAAAGTGAGACAAAGAATACTACTGAAGATAAAAGGAATTGAAGCATTGGGTAAAAGTAACAGAAAGAAAAAACATGAAATCTAAAAAAGAAAAATCACAGAGCAAAATAAAAATGAAAAAAAGAAGAAAAAATTCAGAGAAAGAAAATACAAAAAGGATAAAAATCCCTAAAATCCCCCCAAAAAACAATGAAAGAAAAAAAAAGAAAAATATTGTGTCCTCCCCGCTTAAATTCTTCTATGTTTTTGAATGAATGGTTTGTTTGTAGGAGTTGAATCTTGGAATTCAGAAAATCACAGTTTTCTCCACCCAGCTTTATCGTCTGTGGGTTTGTGAGGTGCCCTTCCCACTCCTGTTAAGGGTCTTGGCATTTATGTTCAAGAGACGTGTTGATCTGTAATTTTCTTATAAAGTCTTTGGTTTGGTGTTAGGGTGATATTGACTTTATGGAGTAAGATAAGAAGTTTTCCCTCTGCCTCTATTTTTAAAATATACTAGAAGGAATTAGTATAATTTCTGTCTTATACATTTGATAATAGCCACCAGTGAACCCATCTAAGACTGATCCATTTTGCTTTGAAAGATTATTAATTGCTGATATAGTTTTAAAAGTAAATATAGGTCTACAAAGATTACTTCCTTTCTGTGGATTTTGACAGATTTTTAAGGGATTGGTTCTTTTCATTTAAGTTGTCAAATTTGTGGGCATAGAGTAAATCTTTGTTATCCCTCTAATTTTGGGGATTTGGGGTTTATAGAGGTGTTTCCTCTTTAATTTCTGACCTTAGCAATATCATCTGTCTCTTTTTTTCTCTGCCACCTAAGCTATAGTCTTAACAATTTTACTTCCATATGTAAAGAATGGATTGGTTGGTTTTCTCTATTCTTTTTCAATTTCATTAATTTCTATTCCAATTTTTAATCTCTTCTGCTTACTTTGGATTTAATTTGGTCTTCTTTTTCAAGTTTCCTAATTTCAAAGCTTGAATAATTGATTTTAAGATCATTTTTGTGCTCTCCTGCATGTTTTAATATGTTTTAAATAGTGTATTTTTCTCTAAACACTGTTTTTTGCTGTGTCTCACAGACTTGGTAAATAGTATTTTCCTTTCATTCAAAATATTCTAAAATTTCTTTTAAGATATTTTTCTTTGAACTATATTATTTTTGAAATGTAGAATTTAAATGTCAAGTTTTTTTTTTTTAATTTTGCCAGTTATGTTTCTGGTACTGATTTTTAATTTAACTTCATTGTGTTCTCAGAGCAGTCTCTGTATGTTTTCTGCTGTCTCAAGTTCTTTTGCAATGTATTTTCTGAGCCAGGATATGGATTGCATTGGTGAATGTTCCCTATGCACATGAGGAGACTGGGTATTCCATAGTTACTGAATAAATTAGTCTGTAGATGTCAATTAATATCCAGTTGCCTGATGCTGCTGTTTAACTTAACTATGTTCTTACTCAACTTGTACCTGCTGGTTCTGCCAATTTCTGATAAAGGAATGTGAAAGTCTCTAACTGTAATAGTACATTCATCTTTTTCTCCTTGAAATGCTATTTCTGCTTGAAATGCTAGTTTTTGTCTCATATATTTTGAAACGTTGTTGTTAGGCACTGTCTTAATCACTTTTCTTATTGTTCAGACAAAATACCTGGCACCCAAAGTTAAAGGAAGAAACATTTATTTGGTTCAGAGTTTTCACAAGTTTCAGTTCATAGTTGGCTGGCTCCAGCACAGGGTAGCATGAAGACAGGCCCTGCAGAGGAGAAATATTCCATGCAGGTAGAAAACAAAAGTCAGCAAGCTACAAGTGAGGAGTGACAGATTTTTATGCAAGCCACCCCTGCTTAGGGTGTGTGGCACTCACACCCAAGGTGGGGCACCCTTAATTCTATCCAGAACTATCCCAAAGCAATCATGGATGTGTTTACTAATCACACATCCTTGATCCCAGCATCACACACTCTAGATCCAGCCACCTCTGTAAACCCCCATGTATAAACACATTAGGCATTGGGGAGACACCTATTTGGAAACCATAACAGGTACATACATTTTAAAGGTTGTAATAGCTTCTTGAAAAATTGACCCATTTATCATTATGTAATATTCGTCACTCTTTTTTTTAAATCCCTGATAACATTCCTTGCCTTGAAATCTACTATATCCAAAGTTAATGTAAGTATTCCGTTAATGGTTGTATGATATATCTTTCACCATCTATTTACTTTTGCTTTATATAAATCTATGTATTTAAAGGGAGTTTCTTATAGATAGTGTACAGTTTGGTGTTGATTTTTTAAAGGGGGACTACTTTCTTTTTGTTTGTGCTTGTGTATGATTTTTTGTGTGTGTGCCAGGGATTGAACTCAGGACCTTACATTTGCCAAGCAGGCACTTATGACACTGAGCTAAGCCCCTGGCCAAGGGGACTACTTTGATAAGGTCTATCTTTTTAAATAATGAATTTACAATTGACATTAAATGATGATTAATATAACTGGATTGATATATACTCTATATACTTTATCTTTATTCATTTGGCAATATTAGATAACTGAGACCTTCTTCTACATCATCAATATAGATTTGCCTGTGATTGTTTTAACAAATGTTTGTTTTCCACTTCGAAGACATACCACAATTTATTTATGAGATCTGTGATGATAAGCATTGGGATTGTCAAATCTTTGGTCTCTGTATTTATCATTTGAGTCCTCTTATGGTTTGTATTCAGATGCCCCTCCTCAAGCCTCATGCAATCATGGACATAGCTGAATACAGTATTTGTGATTGGTTTACTGTCTATGCTGGGATTGGTGGTGTGAGTGCTGCACCCCAGAGGCTGACCAGGCATATAGTAAAAGGGCAAGAAAAGGACATCTTTTTACTCTTTTGCTCTGTTCATGCTTGCTGTTTGTGGTGGCCATGAACAGCTGCTCCGCCATGTCATTCTGCCTTGAAGTCAGCTGAGTATGGGCTGAAACCTCCAAACTGTAAGAAATAAACCTCTTCCTTCATATTGGGCATCCGGTATTTTATCTCAGCAATGAGAGAAAAGTACCAAGACAGAATTTGATACCAGAGTTGGGGTCATTGTTGTGACTATACCTGACCATGTGGTCCAAGAGCCTTTGGGAATGGCTTGAGGGAAGAGTTTGGAAAAGTTTGGAGATGTCACCTGAAAGGGCAGAGCTGGAACAGCTTAGGCTGTTCTGTAGGAGAGATTCTGGTCATAGCTCAGAAGACCAGAAGGCTGATGATAGAAAGTGTGCTGACAAAGACCAGCCTCAGGAGGTGTCTGCTGGAAAGGAAGACTGCATTGGTTGTTGGTCTCCAGATGATGTGTTTTATGGCTTGACAGAAATTTTGTCTGCATTTTGCTCATGTCCAGAGACTTTGCCTGAGACTGAGATTAAGGATGGCAAACTGATTAATCTGGCAAAAGAAATTTCAGGGCAGTCTGATATTGAGATAGTGACATAACTATTGTTGGGGACTTTTAGCCAGATTTGTGTTGTGAATGAAGAGCAAATAGCCTAGCCAGATGATTTAAAACACTGTGAGTTTGGCCAGAAGGAAAACTCCAGTAAAGCTTTGGACTATAATGATAGAGCTGAGACCTCGATTGCTGAGGAGGAAAGAGAAATAAAAAGATAGCCTGGGGGCATCCCAGAAGCAGCAGGTCCTCACCCTTTGCAGCATCAAAACTGCAAAAGTAAAAGACTGCTCAGAAGAGAAAGCCACAGAGTGCCGTGTTCCAGAGTGGTGACTGAGGCCACAAGAGGTTCCAAAATGGTAACAGCAACACCAGATTCCACAATGGCAGTGACATAAAGAAGCCATTCCCCACAATCAGGTTCTGAGAACTCAGAAATCCAGGCACTTGACCCCTATAGCCAAGAGAGAAGAAATCCTGGCTATTGCTCCATCTGGCAGCATTCTTGTGCCACTGGTTTTAGGTGAATGGAGAATGCGTGAATTCTGACTTTAAGGCAGCTTCTACTCCAGTTTCATAGGGCCTGGGAAGGCAGGAAGTATGCACCTGAGAGGGCAGTGTATAAAGCTGTGAGTGTAAAACCAAAGGTGTAATGGAGACCCCAGAAGTCTGGAAAAGCCAGGAATGTGGATCATCCAAAGAAAGGTGCAAAGATTCAGCAGAGTGGGCTTAAGAGAGAAGTGGTGGGAACTGAACCCTTGGAAGTGCTGTGGGAATGGAGTCACTCAAGCCTTTTGGAGCTTACAATCAGGTTCTTCAGATGTTGAGCATGGAACTTCAGGATTTGATGTTTGCTCTGCTGGACTTTGAACTTGCTTTGGTTCCAATGCTTTGTATTCCACTGTGTGTAACCTTTGGAATGGTAATGTTTATCTTGTGACATTGTATACTGGAAGTGTTTAACCTTGTTTTCATTTGTGCAGGGACTTGCAGCTAAGGTTTACCTTAGATCTTGGAGAAGACTTGAGACTTGGACTTTTCAGCAATGCTGAAACTGTTAGGACTTTGGAAACTCTTGGGGATGGACCAAACGTCTTTTGCATAAAGGGTGTGTATGAGTCTTTGGGGGACCAGGGTTGGAATGTTATGGTTTGTTTTAGATGGCCACCCCAAACCTCATGCAGTCACGGACATGGTTGAATCCAGCACTCATGATTGGTTCACTGTCTAGCACTGGGATTGGTGGTGTGAGTGATGTGCCCTCCTAGGGATGGAACTGGCATATGGTATAAGGGCAGAAAGAAGGCAGCTTTTCACTCTTTTGCTCTGTTCAAGCTTGCAGGTTGTGGTGGTCATAAGTGGCCGTTCCACCTTACCATCCTGTCTTGGAGCCATCTGAGTGAAACCTCCAAACTGTAAGGAATAAACTTCTTCCTTCATATTGGGCATTGGGTATAATAGGAAAGTAACCAAGACAAGTCCTATCTCCCTTTCTGAACCAAACTGCCTTCTAAAAGCATATATTATATCTTATTCATTGTTATCTTCTCAGAATATTGTATAATGCCTTAATTTTAATATTTATGAAGAGAATGATGAAGCAACAAATTAATATATAATCCAGGAAGGTTATATTCTGACCTTTTCCCACTGTTATCTTTATTATTATCATTAACTGGGGTCTCTGACACTGGACAAGTACTATCATCTGTTTTTGTTTTGTTTTTGGTGTTTTGAGATAGGTCTTGCTCTGCAAGTTGCTCTCCAACTTGCCATGATCCTCCCGTCTCAGCCTCCCAAGTGTTGGGATTATAGGTGTACACCACCATGCCTGGCTTCAATTTCCCTGCTGAAGTGAATAGACAAAATGAGACTAAGCTTGTAGCTCTGAAATCCTGTGATTCCTATGTGGTAGGATTTGATCCCTGCACTATCTCAGGAACTGAGATAGGGCAAAGTCCTATCTCCTGCTACTGAAAAAAAGCCTTCTCTTACCCAAACCCCCACTGAGAGATCAGCTTGCACAAAGCCTAATCTTTTCTGTTTGGGAGTGGAGACCTGAAAATTAGATCCTTTAATGTGCTGAAAGCCATGCGAGGTGGCTTTGCACTAAGATGAATATCTTTCTGTGAGTGGTATCTGCCAGGACTACAGTGACAAATACAAAACAGTGTCACACAGACTAACTTCTATTTGCATAAAGTGTCCCCATAATACAGGTCATTGTGCTTTTTCTGCAAAGAAAAAAATGCATTAGCACAGGGCATTGCAATGATGGGAAAATGGATGTTAACATTTCTCCCTGACTGATAATCTCTAACGTTACCCTTGGGAAGCCCTGGCTTTCAGAGTGATTTATTTGTCAGCATTTGGAGTTTTTTACTCCCATAATGGGTTATCTGGCACATGTAGCAATGGGCAGTGAAGACAAGCTCAGGGCTTGGAGCAAAATGAAAAAGCGTTTTCAATGTTTTCTGGGAGTTTTATTCATTTCTGATTTCTGAAGTAAAGTTTTCATTTCAAATGAAGTAAGAATAAAAGGGGGCAAAAATCAATGGGTTTCTTGTTTGTTTGTTTTGATGTTCTTTACATATCCTTTATTCTTACTGCCAAACTCTAAAACTGAATGTTCAGCTCTCAGGGGTGAAGCTGCGGGTGAGGGGTTTTTCCTGTGGTTTCTTTGGTGTACAGGAAACTTGTTGTGACATTATTAGAAAATTAGTGCCAAGAGGCCAGAGCACAATCTGTCTTCCAGCACACAGCAGGTGGAGGTGGGAGGCCCCTTTCCCGGGAAGGACGCAGGAGCCTCTGTGCTCACCAATCTGCTTTCACTTTGGCTCTTGCAGCATTTGAAAATCATAGAATCTTGGCAAAGTGTTCCGTATAATCCTACAGGATGCCCACACATAGAACAGCTTTCTTTTCACTTGTTTCTCAAAATTCCCCATTGCTCCGAGATAAAAATCCAACTTAATGTCTCAGTTTTTGAACATAGCCATCAAAGCAATAACTTTCAGCAATAGTGCTGTTCTACGGGCTCTCCTGTGCTCTTGGAGTCATACAAAGCCTTTATCATGCAGGTGAAAGGCCACTTAATACTCAGAACATTGAAATAGATGACCATGACATAGTACGTGCTTTCTTCTCTCCCTGCACTTACAATATAAGGGAAGGAAAAAACCTGACAGTATGAAACAGATGTTAAGCCTGTTTTTAATCATGTATTAAGGGAGTGAAAGAAACGATATACACTGAATGTGATATCTAGGATAAACAGAATCAAAAGAAATCAAACCTCGAGGGTTATGGAAACAGATCAGCAGTCCAGCTTTAACCTCAGAAGCACGGTGTAACCTGGCGGAGCGCTCTGAGTTTGACCTTTGCAGTTATTTGACAACACTGCCTAACCTTGAACTTTTTCATATGTGACAAGTTTTCACTCCAGCAGGCAAGAAAAGTGATTAAAATGACCTACCTCTGAAGCCAATGGTATCTAATTTTTTAATTTAAGGGAAAATTTGAAGGGAAGGCTCATACATTCCTTACAATACCATGCTGTGGTCTCACTTCTGATTTACCATAAAAGAGTAAGGTTTTGGCCCAGAAAATCTGGTTGCTCTTTCTTGCAAGAAGTGTAATTATAGGGGTTTTAAAATTAACAGTGGCTGAAAAGATTTCAACTAGCACATTAGAGAATCAATGGTAAACATGGTTTCCTAAATCAGTAGGTGGTGGCCGCTTCCCCTTAATTGACACTCTGGGAGAGACATGTAACTACTTGTGATTTACCTGAAATTGGTTTACATACTTCTTTACAGGCCAACCACATGTTTGTCTACTCTCTCTGTCTTCTTTCTGCCAGCTTTCTATGGTGGAGATTAAATGTTCATTTTATTCATTATGAACCTCTCCTGAAGAATTCAAATGCATCACTTAGAGGGCTAAATAAAGGCTCTCTTCAAGGCCAGACAAATGAGAGACAAAGTAAAATATGGTTTATAAAAATCATTCGCCTGTAATAGTTAAGCCTCTCTGCTAAGCTAGAAGAGGGACAGCTTTCAATTTCTTGCTCTTTGGTTTAAAAAGATCACCCAACATTTGTGCATATTCTTCTAAATAAAAGTAAAATCATAAAATTGGCTTCAAAGATTTTTAAAAAGCATTTTCTAGTCATCCAATTGCATCCTAGAAATAAAACTCATGATACTAATTCATTGTTTGGATGAACCTTATAAATAACCAATCCAGAAGTCAGCCTGCTGTAAGTCAGACTTACAATTCGTCAGATTACTATTGTGAGAGGAAAAGCAGGAAGCAAAAGAATAATTTTATCGTGATTGGCTCCCCTCAAAGCCAGAACTTGACTAATAACTGACAACTTACTGTATTTTGCCCCTACTTCTAACTTAGGACCAACCAGAAAAACATAAATACATTCCCTAGCCAATCACCTAGAATGCCTGGCTTCTATTTAACCCACTTTCAGCTTCACTAGACCAACAGCTTCCAGTCAGGGCACACAGGAAGCTTCCCTTTTTCTATTTTAAGCTGTCCTACTCCTCTACCTGCGTAGGGATCTCTGGCAAAATCCGGCTAATGCTGGAAAGCTCCAACTAGGCTTCAGCGATCTTCTGTTATTTCCACAGCCACTTCCATCTCCCCATTTCCTAGCCATAGTTCTGAATATTTGCCCTGTGTGGGTAGGTTTACCACCCTCCTTAGCGTTTTGGTCTCAGTGCCAGGCCCCTCTCTGTCAGTCCACTGGCACAGGAGGCTTAGATGCCCTTTGGGCCATCTGCATTCCTAGTAGGGAGGCGGGAGCCCTGCCTTGAAGCCATCTAAATACTTTTTTTTCTGCTGCTCCTCCTAAGCAGTGCTCTTGTGTCGTTTTGAAAGTGAAGAGAATTAAGCAGGGAAGATTTTGGCTTTTTACATTTGGCTATTTCTGAATAATCCCCTTTCCAACCAGGGTAGGAAAAAATAGGTGGGGTGGAGGTGAATATTTTCGTCTGGGTCTCTTTGCTTTCCCTTTTGTCTCCTGTCTTCTCCCCGAGCCTCTCTGACTATTGGATACTGCTTGGGTTTTATTTTTTCCCCCTTCTTAAATACTTTACTCTCCCAAGCTGAGACAACAAACTTCACAGCCTGTTCTCCGTGAAAAGTCTTTAAGAGTCCTGTAGAACCAAGCCTATAACTACACTGGTAGATGACCAGCTAGCTGCTGCCCCACGTCACTCCCCACCTTAGTCACACACTCAGGAGGAGAAGGGCACAGGGAACTTAGTGTAAGTGCTGAGGCGGAGCTCTTTCCCATTGGGCCACTTGGTCTGTTTTGATGGGTTGGCTCTTGGTCTATTCTGACTGGCTGGTGTCTGCTCTGTCTCCATTGGCTGGTGCTTAGCTGCACTGATTGCCCATCTCCCTGCCTTATGCTGCCAAATATGGTAAGACATTCAGAAGAGCAAATGGGGAAAGCTGAATATTTTTGAGTCTGTTACTCCTTTGTGTGCAGAGCTCACTTTTAAGCTTCTAAGTAAACTTCCAGAGAAAATTCTGCATGTTAGCATGCTCAAGGCCCACACTCTGGGAGTCAGACAAGGCTGCTTTCACTCCTGCCTTGCCACCGGACAGCACCACAGCACTGGGTTCCCTGCTGACCTCCTTGATCTCTAGTGTGTTGATACGTAAAGCACAGCTATTGACACACAGCAGCACGGGAAGTTTTTGAAGCTATTTGTAAAACACACAGCTCAGTGTGTGGCACATGGAGAATAGCTGCTATTAGTACTGTGTTTTTAACAGCAATTTCCTCCAAGTTTCAGAGCTTTAAGAGAATTCTCTAAAACTCTGGTGTAGGGTACATGAATATATCATCATCGTCTTCATAGATTTCAGTTTAACAGCAGAGATGGATGTGTCTCTCAGCATTCATAGTTGAAAAATGAGAGACAGTCTGGCCCACATAAGCAGAAGGGAAGCTGAAAATAGGCATTCTCAATGAAGTATTACTACCCCAAGAGGAGGAGAAAATTAGTTTGGGGAGTAAACAAAAGTTTAAATATTCGACTGGTCTTTAGTCCCTCTAAGGCCATAATATATAAACAAATCTATTGGGAATACGTGGTATTAAAATTTCGTTGGGTGGGGAGAAGTAAGGATGATCAAGGAAGGTCTTAAAAGATTCCTTTGAGGTGAAGGGGACATAACTAGGCGGATGAGTGCTTCAAAAGGAAAAGTAGGAAGGACTTTCTGTTACTGTTAGCTAATACTCTGAGGTTAAGCACGGACCTCTCTGCTTCCAATCTCACTAATAACTGGGTGCCACTATCCTCTTAAGCTGAATGCTCTGTGTCTCCAGAGGGACTTGCAATTTCTCTCCATTTCTGGATGGCTAGGTGTCTCCAACACAGTAGTA